AAAAACTGAATCTAATGAAAATCCTTGTCCCAAAAGCACATAACGTGTCTGAACAGTTTGACACAAACTTGATATTTCACTAACACAGCGTACTAAGATCGCCTGTTCCATTTGTTTCAACATTAAATTAAATAAACATCTGCAAAGGGGTCAGGTGCGCAGCGTTATGACGAGGCATCTTAACTAAAATAATTCGGTTTTCTATGGCAAGGAGAATGAGTTGAACGTCGCTAAATCATCTTTTTAAAAATGGTGAGCCTGTATATTTGACACAAAACGTGTCTTTGAAAATCACTAAACCAACTAAAAATATAACGCCTATGAAATTATTTATTGAGCTTTTGCCTCTCTAACAATCTCCAAACGTTTCCTCAATAGCGAGGGTAAAACGAGCTCTACGTAGAGACCTACGAATATGGTTGAGCACTCATGTATCAAGCGTCCCCAATTATAGTTGACGGTAAGCTAAAAAATTGGTCTAAAAATGAGGAATGCTGGTGGTTGAAATGCTTATTTCCGCCCACAGGATTGATAATAGCTACCGGCATTTGGAGTATACACATTATATCGTTTGACTGAAGGGTCGTATCGTGGGAAAAAACCAATTTAAATTTATCCTATTGACCCTACCCGAGGAGGATGAATGCTGTATTTTGGCTGTTAAATTGCGAACCTCTTGTTCATGGTTTATAGGTCGAAGCAATATAGTAAAATTGACCAGTTCATGAAATATATCATTATCCATTGGCCAGAGTGATGTGCGTTGACCAGATCAGTGATGACAAGTTGCTTACCGATATGATCTACTAACTTCATGAAATGACCCAGAATGCTTGACCAAATCACAAGTTATTAGGGACGGGAGGACTGATAAAATTTGCAATTTGAGTTTTCGAGAAATTAAAGACTTTTGAAGAGATAAGAATAAGAAAAAAAATAATCAGCCTCCCAATTCTTCCATAACAGTGGAATATTCACATACAATTTCACAGCTGCACTATGATTTGTAAACCAAAATGCAACTTTTGACAAAGAAGAGACTGGTAGCATCATCTCTATTCACACCATGAAACCATCTGCCACTACTCGTAATACTCTTCCAGACAGGCTGTTTGAAAAAAGGTATATACATGCGTCCGTAACCACTTCTCACATAAGCGAATACATGCTTTTGAAATAAGAATGTCTTGCTGACTCATCCCCATCTTATTAATTTACTAACGCTAAGGTCACTTTGAATTTTATTTTACATCATTCACATTGTACTTTGAAAGGAGCTCAGAGTTGACGGAAACGTATATTTTCAATCTACATACTTATGTGGCTTTATTCGGACACTTCACTCCTCTTGATTGTTTTTTGGGAGCTTAGATAGAAAATGTTTTTGAAGAACCTAAAACTACCTCAGAGGGCAGGAGAAAGAGGTGGCGTACTATTTTTATATGAAAAAACAATGCCACTAATCCCCTATATTTACGCCTCTGGTGCACGTTGATTTTAAGTAAAGACTTTCGAATGTGGACATTACTTAGGTAAATACATGTACCAAATTCTAGTTCATTCCAGCAGACGGTTTGGAAGATATTAAAAAAATATTTTTTTTTTTTAAACTTTTTTCCCTTGAGGAAAAAGGTGTTACATAGAAGACCCCCCTGAATGCGGTCCTGTGTCTGATGATTTATTTTTAGTCACGACTTGTGAATCACCCTATATAAAACATCTGGGCGTATTCATTAATAGCCGGCTTTGTTGATATTCTTGGTGTATAAATTCCACACGCATTTTCTTACAAAAAAAAACAGATAATATTATATTGCGCACTAGAAGAATGTCACCTAACTTGCGGAATAACAGTTTGGGGCTTTGCAAATAAGACGCTAATAGAATTGGTTTAACAAACACAAAAATCTATTATATACCTATTTGAACTTGTATACGTTAAAACAGAGATTCTTAACAAGCAAAAATTATATATTATCATAGATCAACATAAATATAAAGAAGATATCTTAAATTACTTTACTTACCCCAAAGGATGACATCTTGCTAAAATCATTTATGTCAGGCTCCACTGACATATAATAACATACCAGCAAAAATAAAAAAATATAATAACATTAAATTCAAAAAAGAACTGAAAGTTTGGTCAAGGAAAATTCCAAATTACAGCACATCAACATACAACACACACTTTGAATAGAAAAATCTTTAATTCCAATAATAGAATTGAAATTTATAATACAGTGTCGCATAATATGCTGAATAATGGTTGTTTATTTCGGTAACCGGCATTTATTTTTGTTTAGTGCATTTATATATTTATTTTTTTCCACACACGAGGATCTCCTGTGGATTGAAATTTATTCACCATGTTATATATTAATCTGAATAAATTATTATTATTCATCAGAAGCTAATTACAGGAAGGCTTTGTTAGTCTCGTGCACGGATTATTTCTGGAATTTCAAACCTAGAGGGATTTCGAAGCGAAATCGTACTCACACAACTTAAGTGTATTTTAATGACCACTCGCTTTTCATGCTAGGAGTGATTACAGTAGATGGGAATATAAAGGAAACTAATTCACAAAAGGCTAGATGAATGCTTATTTACACAATAAAGGGGAAAAATAATACACTCATCATTCTGGACAGAAAAGGTCGCCACTCTAAAAAAAAAAAATCAGTATAAGGTTGAAAGCGGAATCGGTTACAAAGGTTATTTTGCCGGAGAATAGTGCTTGTCTAAACCTGCAAACTAGTTCGCATATTTTTACTGGTAATTGGATTAGGGAGTTTTCTTTCTGTATACACTGCCGTTAAATTGCCAACGCGTTTAGCATTACACTGATGTTTTCTGCTTTACTAGTGAGGTTGTTATTGCGAGATTCAGAATATATACATTCAAGCCATAAAAGAAAAACGTTTAAGATGTCTACGCTATATAATGGGGAGGCAATTGCATACATAGAGATTGAGTCCACTGAATTGTTTTTTCTTGAAGACAGAATAGTGTTTCTGGGCATGTATACGTATTTCCATTTTCAACTCATTAAGTAATTTAATTGACTCTCATGACCCTCCTATTGGAAAGAATAATTTTTCAGTTAATACCAGAAGTTTGCGGCATGAGGTATGTTTCACTGTAATAGATTTATTTAGCTCAAGATATGCCCAAACTCTCACTCTAAATTTGCTCATCTCCTATGTAGACGATAGTGCTTACCTGGACTTTCCAAATTTCCTATGATGTTTTTAGAACCAGGCTGGATAGGTATATTTTTGGTTTGTGAGATTTGGATGCATGTTCCTTGTTTGAACAATTAGGTCTGGTATATATTCCAATTTTTAAATTTATTATTGTAAAATGGTCCACCGTCGAAATTAATAAATATTTCATTCGTGAACACCCTGGGAAAAATTGCTAAATAGCTCATCATCTGAATCTTATACTATGACATATAAACCTTCTTCTTCTTCTGGAGGGTGCAACCCAAACATCACAAAAGATGAGAGAAGCTCTCTAAATTTGAAGTGTAGGATATTCATTTTATGGGTACCCCTTGAGGCCGTGGCTACCCCTGAGTTCTCTGCTAATTGGCGCTCGGGTGTTGTCGTTATTGAAATTGCATTTTTCTTGTATTAGGCAAGTTTTGGTTTTGTGTATTTGAATCGCTTCGTCTGATTTGTTGAAATTGTCCGGATTTTTTTGGATTTCAGTGGCCTCTCTGAACAGCCTGGCACTAAAAGAAGTAGTAGCTAAGGCCTGTGTTTTCTCGAATTTACTTGGGTGATTTGTTTTTGTTACGTTTATCAGGATGTCCCAGGCGGCAGATGGCTTTATGTTCCCCGATTCTAGTATTTATCGATCATTCCTATGTATCCTCAGGAATTTACCGTATACCGTGCACATGTGGAGGTATATACAATATAAAGGAGCAACTAAAGATCAATAAATACCAGAATCAGGGAACTGCCGCCTGAGAAATACTGATGAATCTGCCATGGCAGGGCCCATTTTAACGAATTATACCACTTATCTCTATTAAATCATATAGTTGTTACAAGTAACACGGTTCTTTGTAGTAACAACTCCTCCAACTCGGTACAAGTATTCATTCATTACGCAAATAAATATTTCGCAAAAAGTGAACTCTTATACTGAAAATTGACACCTTCTACCCACTTCCAAAACATACAAATAGAAAGAAAGAAATTAGAAAATCAAATCCTTAGGTGTGACAAGGTATGCTTCAACTGTTTCTTAATTTTGTTCCAGTAGGAAATATTTTGAAGCTTGTTCTAACCTGTTCCTCCTCCCATTCTACTAGATACGTTAGTAATGAGGCATACCTGATTATGTCAAAGGATGTTGGTAACAATTGCTTATTCAAAATATTTTACTGGAGAATCCTACGCCAGTCTCGTGGCAGGACAGCTTTTTTAACCCCAAACTCTCATGTACCGACTCTCATCTAACCTCTTCAAGAAAAACCGACCAAGAATTTTGTTCTGTAAGTTGCTAAGTCCGAGAGGCTAATATTTTTGAATAATTCAATCTAGATACATTTAGCGCTGATTATACTAGCGCTGATTATTACTTGTTGAAGAGAACAAAATGGCGCTCGAATAGAACACCACTTGCATGCGCGCCGTATCGGCTACCGACTGTACCCGAAAATGACCTAAAGATGTCCAAACGGCTAAAATGCAACGAAGATTTTATTTACCACAAATAAATAATTTGCTGCTGTATGTATAATAATTTCAGTCATAAGGTTCTAGAATTCTAATTCAAATAAATTTTTGTTAACAATATAAATATGAAAAGTTTATTAAATGTCTGCAAACCAGGTTTAGCAGAACCAATTTGATTAAGACGAGCTTTATTCATCATAAACGTTCTGTATATATGATTTCCAATGAAAAAAGTGTTAAGTACCGCTGGGGTCCGTTGACCAGTTTTTCTTGATGTGGATAATAACGTTAAATTTATTTCAGGTTCAGCTCATTCGTGCACAAGGAAACAAAAGCAGAGTTTTTAGAAGAAAACTTGAAAAATCCCATAAAATACAAACTTGTGGAAAAAATAGATTACCCAAGATGGAAACTATTGGAAAGTATGGCAGGCAAACGAATTATTAAGACTCATCTCCCATTCAGTTTGCTGCCTCCCGATCTGCTGAAGACTGGATGCAAGGTAGGAGTTATTTTACAGTAGACAGGTGCAAAAAGATTGTAATGAAAACATCGTTTCACTGTTCGAAGTCTAATTTATTACTCCTTCACTGATTTCTGACATCTGCAACTGATTTATAACCAATTTAATACTATGTCGACTGGATTATTATCACTTCTTAATTCCGCGTTCGCTGTCTATTGCCAACTGCTTCCGCCAGCTGGCCGGGAATATAATGCTCCTATCGATGCATCTAGAAATGCTCTAGCGTTTTCCAGACAGAGTCGTGAACTTCAATGGAAGCAGGCTAGATGTCATATCGAACACTCGCAATTGCGTCGCTAGCGGTTCATACATAGCCGCGCAACTCTGGCTGCATAAGCGTCGACCCTGCGAAGCAACTCTTCGCCGCTCAAGGTCCCAGCTATACGGGGGCGTTACAATATTACTTATGGAAAATGTTATGTGAATAGAACGTGAAAAATAAGTGCAATCGCTGGAAAGAACCGGTTTGCTTTCAGTTTCTGTGACCATAACCCACGCCATACGACGTCGTTTTATTTTTGTTAGCAATAACCAAGACGGATTGGTCTAGCCATTTGGATACAGATGACGGAAAGCAAACTAGAGAAAATGGGTCTATCGAAAAACTCATTTCAGTGTGCGAGAAATAAGTGCGACACGCTAGGTTGTGCAACTTTTACATAGTACGAGAATGCTGGTAACATGTTGAGTACTTAGTTCTCCCCTGAGTGATGATGGGTCGCCTATGTGATCTTTTTTTGGCTTCTTAAAACAAAACACTTTTTTTTCCGAGATGCCGGGGAACTGCGGTTTCTTGTTGACCTACGGCAGCACAATCAGTGATTTTGATCCGTCTCATGAAAAGATATTCGGAACTTCAGGTATGGCAGCCGTGATAGATGCTAGGTGATCAGGTTACATGTTCCTTGACAGTCTAAGCATCAGATACACCAAGAAGAATCCAAATTTTGCCTCATCTTTTTATGACAAGTACAGGCATGTGTTCAAAGAAGATTTTACGTATTCTAGTCACCCAAAAATTATGTAATATAAAGTTCTCGCGATCGCAATCATTTATTCGTTTATGCCAAAGCAGACCAGCCCCGTGGTGCAATTTGTGTAACGTGATTTTAACGCAGCTAAATATTCTACACTACTGGTTGCTGGACTTTTAAACATATTCTCAGCTCACAGCTGCAGTATGAACCGCCAACTGAAGAGTCACTGCACTTCTCACGACCTACAGATACAGATAAAAATATCATATCTCCCATGCATGTTTTCAAAATTATTGTCAGTTACACAATTATTCGGCAAATTACAACAGCATACAGGGTTTGTCCGGAAAGTAATAGGACTGAGTCGATTTAAAAAAACTTATTGAGCCAATCGTTACAATTCTTTAAAAACTTTCAAAATAGGCTCCTTCTGCGTCGATGCAGCGCTGCCAGCACGATTTCCAAGCATTGAAGGCGTCACGGAAGGCATTCTCCGGAATAGCCTTGAGAGCCGCGGTGCATGCTGCTTGGATCCCCTCTGTCGTCTCAAAATGCTTGCCTTTCATCGGCATTTTCAGGCGAGGAAACAAAAAAAAGTCCGGGGGGCCACATCTGGGCTGTAGGGAGGCTGCGGAAGCGTTGGGATGCCGGCCTTGGTCAGGTAGCTGTTCACAATAAAGGCGGTGTGAGCCGGGGCGTTGTCGTGGTGCAACTTCCTGTCGGCTGCGATGTCTTGTCGGACCCGACTGACCCTTCGTTTGAGTCTCCTGAGCACTTTCACGTAAAACTTGGCGTTGACCGTGTTGTCCAGGAGGAACAAATTCATGGTGGACGATGCCTTTGACGGACACGAGTCACGTTATCGGTGTTTGTCGAAGTCCTATTACTTTCCGGACAAACCCTGTATATTCTTACGAATACAAGATGTTAATGTATCTGAGTTCCACTCTCTTATCACGGAAGGCCCATGCACCACGATGTGTTTGTCACTAACAGGTTCAAAATTAATAGTTATAAACTCAATATAGGGACAGATTTTCGTCCATATGCAAGTCCAAAGTCCTCTTATTCCTTTACGCTGCTTCAATTTTCATAATAATCAAGTTTCAGCCATACAGTCTGAATCCAACTCACGGTATCCGCATCAAAAGTTATTGATGTGGTGTGGTGTCCCGATATGACTGGTAGTTACGATGTGCAAAATTTTCGTTCACTGAGAGACAATTTTGAAGAGCGCCGGATTCAAAAGAATGGTTTTATGCATTATCGAACAAATGTATTTTTGATAAATAAACGTAAGACTCCTCAAGTGAAGCCAAAGTATAGGTGAAGATACTTAAACATCAATTTCTTGTGCAACCTTGTGCACCCTTCACTAACCGTACTTCTCTGTCCTCAAGAGGCATCAACGGTCTGAAGTTGTTCACTATGATTTCTCCAGAAGGACCCTTCATACTCCTAAACGCGTCGAGCTGAGACTCAGAGACCTCTATCGGATCATCGAACACGATCCAAGTGGTACACTCGGAACAAGGAGGAGTGGTGAGAGATCCAGGATATGTATAGTAGCTACCGTGCAAAGGTATCAGATTGGATATGTCCACGTTCCTTTCTAATTTCGCTTCTGCGCCTTTGGCCTCGCATTTTTCCATAACCTCAACGAGTTTGGCTATCTCTGGATGTCCTTTGGATCCAAGCTTCAAGAAAACTCCCAGTACACACAGGCCGTCGTTATTTATTATGCCTTTTTGTGTTGAACAGTACCGGTTGTTTACGTGTACGAAGTGTATTTCTCCATCGTACTTTTTTCCGTCTATGGCGTGCTCTGAACCTTTCGTCTTGTTGTCGCCCCAATGGCCATGGAACTGGAGCAATGTATATTGATCTGTCAATGGTCCACCTAGTGAAAAGTATGATCGTATGTATAAATATGACAATGTTTCAGGGTAAAGATTTTAGGTTATTTCACAATAAAACCTAATATCAGCAAATATGGACAGCGATATAATGTGCCCGCTAAAGAATGTCGAAGCAACTAGAGAATAATAGATATTTTTTTTATTTTGGTGTCTTGATAAATCACATGCAGTGCTTTGCTGTGAAGTATTTCCATTTATTTTTTTAACTTAGCATGATGAAACTGCGAAACTTCAGCGTAAAAGTAACAGCTTAAGATTTTTGTTTCATGTGACTTTTGATTTACCTTATGGTACTTTATGACCCTAGACCTAGAATATAAATCTGCTGTACTTTTACCCATCCTACAAACTCCGACTCTCGATTTTTAACCCAAACAAAAACTATTCCGAAAATGGTCAAGAATCTATGCGTTTTTTGGCCTTTGCTCCTAGCTCCACCTCCACTGGACCAATTTTCGGAATTTAATAATAATAATAATAATGGTCGTCTTTATTTATCCATAATTACATTGTAGTATAGCCAAATGTCAGACTTACAAGGCGAAGTTTAGCATGCTGCTACTCTTACACTTAACCATATAGTCTCTAGCAGATGTTCAAAAGAATACACTATCCACAAACAGATTTGGTTCATTACATCGAAAGTAAAATTTAAAAAAGAGAAATAGGCATACTTTCCAAACCCAAATGCACCAAAAAATTATCAATCTGAATTAAAGATGGAATAAAAAAGAAATGAATGATTACGTAAATTATATGTTTGGAGGGTTGCGTAATAATGTTTTAACTTTTTGTCGAAAGACAGGTAATGAAACTTCTTTATATACTTTAGGAAGGTCATTATAAATAATAGCAACATTGTAAGAAAAACTGCGTTTAAAAAGTGTAGACTTATGCAGGGGTATTCTAATATTATTTTCTCTGAGAGTTCTACAGTGAAAATCATTATTAAATGATTTTTTTTCCTTCAAGTAATAAGGTTTAGACGTGAGCAGCAATTTGTGAACAAAAACTGAATAGTGATACTTGACCATGTCATTAATTTTTAACCAGTTTAGAACGGGATATTTCGCTGATACTATACATGATCAAATTTACGTAAGCCAAAAATGAATCGTATACAATTGTTTTGAATAACTTGAATAACGTTTTTAGTGAAATTGTCTAAACAAGTATAGTATAAGATATTACAATAATTTAGTATAGATATGACCAATGCGTCACGTAGTTTTTTACGCAACTTAAAGTTTAGTAAATACCTGTTTGCTATAAGAGTGCGCAGCCGTAGGTAGGTTTTCTGAGATAGACTTTTAACATGTTCAATAAACCTTAATTTTGTATTAAAAACAACACCAAGAATTTTTGCAGAATCAGAAAATTGCATGATTTGGTCATTTATCTGAATGTTCAAGAGCTGTATGTTTTTCTTTGTGCGCAAAATAATAACATTTTAGATTTTTGTGGATTAATAAGTAGATTGTGATCTAAAGAGTATTTAATTAATTTATTAACATCGTTTTGGAAAATTTGAGTAGTATTATTGACATTATCTGGGTTAAAATAATGGAGCAATTGCGTATCGTCTGCAAATGACTGGATATGAGAATATCAATACTTTTGCTTAAGTCGAACGTATATATGAGATATGCCTGAGGGAATTATTGTCACTTGAGACGTTTCTTGATTGAGAAAAACACACTGAGTTATTTGATGAAGGTAACTGTCGAAAAATGAAAGACCTATGTAATTTAATTTAGCAAGTAATAATTTGTGATTGATGCTGTCAAAGGCTTTCGAATAGTCTATAGAGATTAAGGCTAGTGCCATTTTCTTATCTAAGGCACTTAAAATATTGTCTTGCAGATTAAGTAGGGCCGATGTTGTACTATATTTTTTTCTAAAACCGGATTGAGTGTCGGGAAGTATAAAGAATTTTTCTAGGTAAGCGGTCAATTGGAACTTTATAATTTTTTCTAAAATTTTGGATAAAATTGGTAATAAACTGATAGGTCTGAGATCATTATACTCAGTGGGTTTAATTTTTTTAGGAATTGGAATAATTAGAGCTTGTTTCCATGTGTTTGGAAAGTAGCCTTTTTCCAAACAGTCGTTAAAGATGT